GACACTTTCTGAGCCCCTGGGAAGGAGCTGCTGTTTATTTGTGCAATTCTTGGCTTTAAAATAACTTAATTCTCTTACGCTGTGGTACTTCTTTTTTTTAAGAGGTATCAGGAGACTGCAAAGTGACGTGAACGGCAATCCCTTCATCAGCATTTGGCATGGCTGCATTATTTTGTGTCCCAGGCTCTCTGATATTAAGTTATCTTTGAAAAAAAAGTCGTGGAGGATGTCTCCTGGCAGTCTTGGTGAGAAATAAAATAGAAAATTTGTGTGTATACACACCTTTCCGCAACACCCTTTGATAGATGCCGATCTGGCATGCCTTCGAGCGTGCACTTGTAAATCGTTATCGCGTTTCTTCTCACGCAGTTGTCATTGGCGCATTATCGGTCGACTTGCTAGTGATCGCTTTGCTGTTACCAAAAAAACCGCACATTTAATAGCGGATCAGTGTTCCAGTGTTTTTTGATCGGTAAGTGGTTTTGCAGGTATCAGTGCCGTTGCATATGTTTCGGCTTTGGGCATATTTCTGCATGATGGCTCAGATACCGCTCAGCATACTGACTGAAAAAGTGCTGGAGGGTGGGCGACCAGGGAATATCGTTATGTGGCTATCACTAATCCTAGGCCAACCGCTGGCTATCTTAATGTATGTGCACGATTGGTATGTTACGCATTATCCACATGCGCCACACTACGGCAGTGCTGCCGAAAATTCTACCATGCCATAGCAGTCAGCCATGTGAGCCCTGTATCTATCCGTCTCAGATATTACTCATTCTTCACTGGGTTGCTTTAGCTCATAAAAAAAACCCCCCTTATTATTAGCCATCATTTTAGACCTGTAAATATTTTTGACTTCGCTAATACTCTGTCACTGTATCAGTAACACAATTAGTTTGATCGGTTGCTTTTCCTGTCTTGTAGTAGTACTTTGATGCCAGTAGCGCGCATCCGACAATTTTACTGTAATGGCCGAAACTGGCTGACATGGCGCAAGTGGTAAGCAACGCTTAACGAATGTAGGGCAAGCCACAGCAGTGATTGTGGGTAGAACCTTTATATGTGTGTGTTTATATATGTATTCTTGGATATATCTGAGGGGCAGCCGAAAGACGAGTTACGTGGCGCGGCTATGAGACGATACAGGTTTATTCAGCCCTGAGCTTTATATACCATATTTGTGCCACACCTATAAAATCGTAGGTGCTGGATTCACGGGGTGACAGACGAAGGTGGGTTATTAAGGCGGGAAGAAGTCTGGCATCCTCACAATGGATGCTGCTGCTTCTCGGGATATCTGGGGGCCACCCGCGTGTACGACCGGGCCGAGATATCAACGAGATTATAAATCAACGACTTCCAAAGAC